ACCTCCCGGGCCCCGCCCGCCATACCGCTCTGCTCTGCCGGGCCGCACCGCCCCCGACTGCCCGCTGGCTGCTCCTAGCCGATTGGCTTGGCAGGCTTTTGGGCGGGGCCTCATTTGCTACTCCCTATTGGTCCACATAAACATCCTTTCCCAAAGGACAAATGATTCGTTGGGTTCGAGAGGCACCGCCCACCTGTCCCTCCCCTCTTCCTGGCTGGACTAATCCGGCTTCCCAGTAGCTGGCGGTAGGGGCGGGGCCACGTGGACCATACCGGAAGTCGTGTACGCGGGCGCCGCGCACCAAGCTGTAGCGCTCGCGGCTTGCTTCCCGTGGCGTCCCACGTGAGTAAATTCCCTGTGGCTGTGGGAGGGTGATTCTACCCTGTAATTCTTCGCGGCTCTTGCCCTTTTCCAACAAGACGCCATTCTTCTCTCGCGGGATAGCTCTGTTGGTTAAGGGGATTTGAGATAAAGTAAACCCTTGCTAGAAAAGTAGAAGTTCCCTAGAAGCCGCCCACGTAACGCCCTCTTCCTCTCCAAAAGTCACAGCCATCATGAGTTCTACTCCTGTCGTCTGGCTTTATTTATTTTTTTTTTAATATTAATAAATCAAAATGTGTATTTTTGTGTCTGACTTTCACTCAGTATCTTCTGTGAAATTCATCCTTAGTCCTGTGTGTGTTTATAGTTCGTTTCCATTGCTTCAGAGTGAATGTGCAACAGATTATTCTCCAGATAACACATTTTGGGATTATTTTTATTTTTTGGCTGTAAGATGCTACAGTTAACATTCTCGTGCAGATATGAGGAGTTAGATACCTTGCTGCAAACAGCCTGCATTGTTTTCATGGAATGCTCCTTTATTGCAAAATGAAAGTACCTTGTACGTACAACACATTGTTTGGGTTTCTTACAGAAAAGGAAGTGAATGAGCTGATGGAAGAGCTATCTGAAACTGTGAGTAGTGATTCTTGAGTGAAAACTCTGGGTGAAAAAGTGCATCTGCCAGCAAGCTCTGTTCTTTGGGTTCTGGGACCCTCCCTACAGAGGACCCCTACAGAGGGGGGTCTCACTGAACTACCCTTTCACTGCACCCATGAAAGAGTACAGTGGAAGAATTTTGCTAGTTAGTAATCTCTTGATTATCTGCGTGTAGGTTGTTCTTAGTAAAATCTCCCATGCAGACTTTTGGATGACTTTCCCAAATATCATTTGGTGTGCCCTGAAAGATTGTAAACTTTGCACAGTTACCTTTCTGGTAAATCTGTCTCTTCAAAGATATTTTGGTATGAGAGATCAATCGTTTTGAGTTAGCCATGCTCAGTCCTTGCCGTTACAAGCTGCCTGGCTGAGAGATCTCTCTCCTGGCATGATGGTTATCCCGAGGGTGGGGTTTTGGGAGCCCTGAGTTGAGAGTGTTTCTGGTACAGGCTCTTTGTGGGTGTCAGCATTCTTAAAGTCCTGTAAGCTGTAGGCTTCACTTTCTCTTCTCACCGCTGGAGTGACTTTCATAGGTGTGTTCTCCAGGAAAACCTTTGTCTTCCTTTGCCCTCAGTTCCAAGATGAGATGGGATTCCCCAAAGTGGAAGATGACGGCCCTGAAGAG